AAAAACAAACAAACAAAAACCTCTATGTGAATTTAATTCTCTAAAAGTCTGGATATTTTAAACTGAATTGCTCTGAAAGAGTGTTTTTTCCAACGTTTTTTTTTTGTTGTTTTACTTTTTTCTACGTGTGCCTCTTCAGAGGCCGCAGGAAAAGCAAAAGCATTCTGCCCCTCGCAGGAGCCGGGACGTTCGCTTTAGCGGCTGCCTGGCTTGCTCCGGTCCCGAGGCAGGGACTTGGACCGTGGCACCTTCTCCCCGTCGCCCTTTCACGACAGATGCAGCCCCGCGCTCCTCTTCTCCCGTGGCTCTGCACACAGCCCGACACGCCCCGGCCCCGCCGCCATTTTAGGGCGTCCTCCCCTCTCCTTCCCGCCCCGCTGCATCACGTGGCCCCAACGGCTGCAGCGCCGCCGTTACGGTCTCTGAAAGGGGCGACGGTGGCTCATGGCTGCGCCCAGCACCTGACACACAGTTTTCTCTTCCTTCCCATCCCCCTCTCTGCGCGACATTTCAAAAGAAGCTAGTCATTGCTTCGTGCACAAATCACTTGGAAGTTTATTTACTTCTAGGCCATTTTTCTTCCTCCTCCCCCCCCCCTTTTTTTTTGGGGGGGAAACTAACTTATTAGCCATTTTTTTAACAACATCTTTAACCAATAAGTAATCTGAAAATTCTCCAACACTAACATACAAACATAAATATGCCACTTTGTTTTTTTTGTTTTGTGTCACAGGTTGTTGTCGCAAACAAAATGTGAATTGGGGCCATGATTAAAGAAATTGAAAAGTCACCTTTGAGGASTATTTTAGGAATCTGTTTTCACCTTGCAGCCCCTTGATACCTTTAAAAATTCAGCCTTTTCACCTAAGATAGAGGAATAAGTGCTCAGTGCTCTAGTTGTACCTCCACCCCAGTTCCAGAGGCGACAGCACACAAGTTTACTCAACACCACACAGTACCCTTAAAATGCCACATTCCTGCACATCGCCAAGGCATGCCTTTTTTTTTTTTTTTTTTTTTTTTTTTTTTTTTTTTTTTTTTTTTTTTTTTTTTCCCCCCCTCTCCTCTCTCTCTGCAAGTGCATATAGAGAGGTCATATGAGCCGCCTCTTTCTATTTGGGCTTCTTTCTGCTCTAACTTTTGCCCTACGCAGTTCATTTTAGATGCTCTAACACAGTTATTCTCTAATAGAGCTGCTGCTTCTAAAACAGCAGCGATGTCCCCCCACCAAAATAAAGTCTACAAGTCAAGTACTAGAAAAAAATAGTCAAGTTTCAGCTTTTCAGGATGTCTCATTTACACACAGAAAAATCAGTAACATTCTTTTTTTATGGAAAGCAAATATGAAACTGAACAGGAACAACAGTGTCAATTTGTAGAAGCACAGATAAATTGAGCTCATCAGGTCGATGTATAAATCCCCTGAGTTGACAGTTAAGGACTCTCAGTCTAAGAGACAAAGATNAAAAAAAAAAAAAAAGGCATTGATTATACCATCAGGTTACACTAGTTGTCACAATATTTACTGAGACAAACCTCCCATGCAATAACAAAACAAAATCATTTACAATCGAAAAAGAAGTAACTAGCTCCTTTTAAGTATTCCAAGAATGTAGCCTCACCAGTCCTTTAAATTAAGGATTCTGGATTTAAATACTAAGTTACCACTCATACTATGGTTGACTGGGTGGTTGTGAAACACTGTCCTCCATTTCAACAGTTCTTCATRTACCTTTTTACCAGTCACTTGCATCAGCCAGACATGTGCATAGTCTCAGTGCTGATTACGCTATGGAGTCGGGTTGACCCAGCTCCTCATGGAAACCTTTCTTTTAGACGTTTCCAATTCACTTTTAGGTATATGGAGGCATCTTTTCCTAAGCTCAACATTCCAGATGTCACAAGAAGTAGTARTCGGATCTCAGAGGTAAAAGCATCTCTCACCGAGTGTTGCTAGAAAAGAGGCACAGCAGCAGACTACCGGTTTCCTTGTCTGGAGGAGAAGCTGCAGCGGTGCCGGGAGGTCCATGTCGCACCTTCTGCTCAGTATTTATTGATGCCAAAGATCCTGACCCCATGTAGTTGTGGCAGCTTGGGGATGAGCACCGTCAGCAGAGAGGTTGTGTTGAGGATAAAGTGTGTTGGATCATACTTTGTGTAGAAGCTTGCCAGGAAGTACCTGTAAGAAAAAGCAGCTGATAACAATGTCGTTTTAAAAAAATAAACAGACAGAGCATAGTTTAACAAGGGGCCTAGTTAATCAGTAATAGTTCACTCATATATTCCTGTACTAGAAATCTTGCTTCAGATTCCAGGTCTTTCAGCAGAGCAACAGGCCAAATATTTTCTTCCCACACTTTTCTCAGTGCTAAAAAGTACTTCTCAGCTGGTATTTTCCTGCAACATTTCTCCCCTGAAACTTGGGAGCCTCTAAGTTAAAGCCTAATTTCGGATACCAATTTTAAATAAAATAAGACCCATTAGTGATATGTACGTATTGCAACGATCCCAACCAGCTCAGTGACAAAACATCTGGCATTTTTCAATGCTCAAGTCATTTATGTTGAGCATATTTGCAATCAGCATCTTCTTGAAATGCTTCCAGTCTAACACATACTTCCAGGACAATTTTCTTAAAAGCTGTTCAACTGGGAAAATATGGCAACATGTCAAAAAATCTCACATCCAAATTTCTTACATTTTCAATCAATGACTCTACCTCATTCTTTGCAAAAATTAGTTGCACAAGTAAGTCTATCAGATTGCCTTTTTTTTTTCCAGAAAAAGGAAAGCATCTCTTCAGCTTCTTGTGCACTACTGGTGCATGTAGAGAGCTGTATACCTAGGTTACGATTATAAAAAACCCACTGAAAAGTTTTTTTGTTGTTGTTTGTTTGTTTTGCAGAGAGGTATTTTGTTTCAGTTTCTATCTGGTGTCAAGACAGCTTTCTAAACTAGATGCACAATCTTACCTTTCTCCCCATTCCGAGCCATGCAAATGGACAGCTTAAAGGAAAAATATTAGGGCTTTTTATAATTATCTATTACATACTTATCTGATTTCCTGTAGTTAYACAACTGTATTTTTGCCAAAAGACATGAGATGTAGCATTTCTACCAGTGTTCTCTTTGCATAACTTGTGCAAACAGAAAACAGTCTACACAAAGCAAAACTGATCGGTAGTATCATGAAGTATCCCATACACCAAGCACTGCCACACCCTCATAGCTTGCAAACTGCAAAAGGGTCAAATAAAYGCCATAAATTAGTATATAAATAACTAAGATTTTTTAGAGTAGTTTAGATTTTCAGTATTTGCAACTTCTCAATCTCTGAAAAAGAGTTAATAGCAAGCTTTCCTTCAAAGGTTTCTAATCTTGAAAGCCTGTTGCATTAGAAATTGTTAACCAACTTTAATTTCAGTATTTGCATTAGTGTTGAAAGCCACATGAAGAAAGATTGTCGACCGTATGGCCTATAAATATATATTCCGCAAGTCTATGACGCAGAACAAACAAAAAAAAAAAAGGAAAAAAAAAAAAAAAGAGGGGAAAAAAAAAAAGAGTCCCTTTTAAAAGTATAGTGTAACACACTTAATTGTAGCTGTAACTGAAACCATGGCTTAAGGACTCAGTCCACACATTCTATCGATTGGAACTCACAGTATTATAGGAGAGATTGTGAAGAATTTTCTTGATGATGTAAATTGTACTCCATAATCCAGTTGCTCCCAGTGCGTTAGCAGCCTTGCTTTCCCCTGATCAGGTGTTTCAAAAGGAGTTCCTTTAACTGCATGAAGAAACACATACATTCCCTGGGGAAAATAAAGAGCACATCTTATTTATGTCTTATGTAACTGTTACATTGTTCAAGGTATTGGGTAAAAAAAAAAAAAAAAAAAAAAAAGAGAAAAGGTTACACAGACAGTGGCAGTGCGAGAGTTAGAGACAGAGTCCAAGTCTATGCCGCATCCAATCCAGTGCCTTGTCCTCTATATCAGGTGGCAAAGACTGAATGCTGAATAAACTCAAGCAAATTTTAGTAAGCATCCTAATAAGTTTAGGGCAGTCAGGTAAATTTTATTTATTTTTTCTTCCTAACATTGTGGTTGAGTGCTGTAGACTTTGTGCACAGCAAAAAATCTATCTACTATCTGTTGAATAATATCTCCTTTACCACAGTGAATTGTTCTTTGTTTTTGAAGCATGGACCCAAATCATGTCTCTGAAATATAAATTTGAGCCCTCGGGTTTTAAATAGCGCTTTTCCAGTTTTCATAAGCGTTTTTTTTCTATAACCATGAGATACACAGGAATTACCACTCTTTCCATATGGATTTTTTTTTCCTAATATCTAATCTGAACCTCCCCAGCACAACTTGATGCCATCACCTCTTGTCCTACCTGTAGTTATTCTGGAGAAGAGATCAATCCTCACCTCTCCACAACCTCCTTTCAGACCATTGGAGGGAGCAATGAGACCTCCCGAGAGCCTCCTCCTCTCCACACTAAATAACCCGGGTTCCCCCAGCAGCTCCTCATTAGGTCTGTGCTCCAGCCCCTTCCCCAGCTTCACTACCCCTCTTTGGACCTGCTCCAGCAGCTCCCTGTCCTCCTTGCAGTAAGAGGCCCAAAGCTGAACACAGGATTCGAGGGGTGGCCTCACCAGAGCCAAGGACAGGGGGACGATCAGTTCCCTGCTCCTGATGGCCACACTGTTCCTGACACCAGCCAGGAGGCCGCTGGCCTTCTTGGCCACCTGGSCACATGGCTGGCTCATGTTTGTATAGTAGTAATTGGGAAATACAGTAGCCACTTTGGTGTTTTGGAGGGTAAACTTTTTTTGGAAGAGAAATTATTGTGGCAGAGGAAAAAAATGAGGGGGTATAATTTTTTTCAGAGGGGAAAAGAGTGGGAAAAATTCAGAAGGAAAATTCTGGGGGTAATTTTTTTGGAAGGATTTATTTTGAGAGTTTTTTTGGGAAATGTTTTGGGACTAGTTTTTTGGGAGGTGTTGGCAGATTTTTTTTTCATTTTGAGGAAAATAATTTGGTTTTATTTTTGGGGGGGGGGGAATTAGCTTTAAGAAAAAGCTCCTGATGACTGACTATCCAAAAGAAATTTAAATAACGTAGACTATATAAATAATATTTCAAATTTTTTTCCTASATGATTTTTTCCTTGGCTAGCTTGCATCCCCAACATCCTAAATAGACTCCCTTTAAGTGAAATAGCAAAATAATTTTGAAGGGATATTCGATGGCACAAGGCACCCGGGCGCGCTGCCGGCTCCGGCTCAGCCGGCTGTCRGCAGCAGCCCTGCAGCCGCCCTGCCCCAAGCCTGCGGTGCTGCGGGTGGTTGTTGTGACCGCGCAGGCCACAACCACCACGCGGTTGTTGTGACCCAGGTGCAGGACGCGGCTCTTGGCCGTGTTGAACCTCAGCCCACTGACCCAGCCTGTCCATTTCGCACTAGTGCTTGCAGTAATGGCAACCACAAGTGCTTCCAAGGCCACCTAAGTGTTGTCCAATAATGAAACTCTAGCTTTTTTTTTTGTTCGTTTTGTCAAACCTTTCAAGATTATGTTTCAAATTAAGCCCTATTTAAACAATGACATACCTAAAGTACAGTTCCTGCTCATCTTCCATCGTTGCASGGGAAAGCTACTCACCAGCGCCTGTCACCATTCCTGTTGGTGATGTGCAGTGAATTCCCGAGGGTCTGTGGAAGCTCTCCGGGCTTACAGAGAACCCCACAGAGCCTTTCAGGGTGCCCGCCATGCTCACGAGCAGCGGCAGCGGGCGCCGGGCACTCACCAGGTTGTGGATGACGTTGGTGAGGGTCCAGGCGACGGGCACGCTGACGAAGGGCACGCTGAGCAGCATGATGTGCAGCAGGCCCACGCCGAGCGCGTAGCTCAGCCACATGCCGCGGCTGCTCATCACGCGCGTGTTGGGGTTCCCCTCGCTGTGCGCAACGCCCACGTTCATGGCTGCCCTTCGGCGCGGGGCACGAGGCTCCGGAGCCGGCGCTGCAGCCGCCGCGAGAGGCCCCGGCACCTGCAGCGCCAGCGGCCGCGGGGAGGAGCGGCCGGCGCAGGGG